AAGGCTACAAGGAATAGTTGGTGATGCGGCATTAAAGACTGGAGCCAAATCTTGAGTGGTTTGGTGGCAGGGAACGAGAAATGGAAGACACTCAGATGTATCCCCAGGGGTGTTCCTATCAAAATTTGGATGGCTGCAGCATTAGCACAGTGGAATTATACCTGTATGACCAACAGTTTAATTCGCATATTCCACCACATGATGAAATGATGCTTGGTACTGAATTTGGAAAGAAATGAAGGACAGAAGATATGCTTCTAGTTCCATATAATTTGATATTAGTCTAACACTGACATACAGTGTGTTCATTTTAAAGCAGGTAAGAAACAAAATCATTATTTCAGTCTTGTATCTCTATTATTACATTGTTTTAAAGTGTTAAACTTTATACCTGTTACAACAAGTTTGATTGTTATGGCATTTGGATTTACAAAGTAGATCAGCTGATTTGCACAAACAGATGTTCGTAGTACACTTTTTTTAACAGCTGCATTTTCTAAGTCCTTGTCCCCCAACTAAAGAAATTTTTTTTTTTTTTTTTTTTTTTTACTATTTCACATACACTTACTTCTTCTATACCAACTTCAATGTTCAAAAAATTTTTCTTTACAAAAAAATAAACTGCTTTCCTGTTTACAACGATTTTAATTTACCGAACTTACTATCAAAAACATAAAAACTCATCATCTTAAATATCTCTAATAACGGCTATTATTGATTTTGGATCCATTTTTGATCTATCAATATCAGGTACTTTTATTTTAACATTTTTCCAAAAGTATTTGTCCAAATGTAGGTTTCGGAAAGTTTTTAGTAGACACAGTCTTCAGCTTCTTTGCCTGGTTCTGAAGTCCTTCCTTAACTGTCTCTCGAAACACTTTCACATTTTGAGTTTTCTTGATAATTGCACCCGTTGTGTCAGAGCATATATCTGGTTCTTTCATTTCAATTCAAACTTCAGTATCTGCTTCCATTGTTATGCCTGATTATTTTTCATATGCATTATTATTATCTTGCGATTCTAAATCAACTGTTGATTCGAGATTAGTTTTCCCATTTTCTGTATTAACCACACATTCATTAGTAATACATACTTATAACTTTTTTCTAAATCCTGTTCAGTGGTCATGTTACTAATCAAATTATGTGGCAAAACTGAGTTAGCAAGTCCTAGCTTCATAGGACAACTTTGCAAGACATCACAGGATAGCTTCATTAAGATGAACATTTGAATCCCTCCTGACATGCTTTGTTTTTTATTTTTGAACAAATTTTAATCCTTCTGACCAATTTCCTATCTTATTTGTTTCCAACATGTTCTCAACATCTTGGTTCACCCGTTCGACAGAACTTTGTGACTGACTGTGTCTCGGTTTTCAGTGAGCTATTTTTATATCACTCCACATTTCACATAAACTGTTTATGATTTGATTTGGTTGCAAAATTCCCTCGTATTATCAGAATGAAGAATGTTCAGGGCTCCAAAAGCTATGAAAATATCCAGAAAGTGATATGCTACTTCAACAATTCTTTTACTGTGTAAACTTCGGAGTAGGACAAATTATGTAAGATGATCTTGATGCACTCAAATGAATTTCATATCATGATCAGTATTGGACTGCATATCTATTAGGTTGACTTGGCATCGAGAATTCATTTCACTATGCACAACTGATTTAATTACAATCCCCTCTTTCACAGTTTTTTGTTTCTTCTGACATGGTTCGCATAGTCTTAAATATGTGAAGATAGGTTCTACTGTTACATTCTTGTACTTACGATTCAGTTCTTTAATCATGCAAGTTCTTTCACCATGGCCAATTGCAATATGAGTGCTGTGTTGAAGACTTCATCAGTTGTAACATAATATAGGATTTTTGCAAATAGTGATATTATAAGTTTGTCCTTTCCTCCAATTAGAATACGACAGCGTTTCAACCTTCTGTAATGAACTGTTTGTTTCTCCATCACACATTTCTCACTTGTTAAATAAAAGCAGTTATCAGGCTTATTTTTTACAAATTCAGACAAAATGTCATAATCTTTTTCCGCATAACATCACTCATTTCCCATCAGCAAAATAAAAAAAAGCAAAGTATGTAAAAATGGAAACAAACTTCAGGGAAAGTGCAGAATCACCCCTGCTTAGCGCATTTCTCAAAATCGCCAACTTGAAAATAACAAGTCTAAGAATTGCACAAACTCAGTGTCCATGTACACAACGACCTATTTTTGCTTAAAATAACATCAGAGAATTACACAAACTTGGCACTACGCACTCCCTTGACTTTGTCCATGTGCACATCGATAAGTGGGCGATTCTGCACTTGCGCCCAAACTTCTTCTTTTTTAGATCGTAGCTGCTTACACTTGTTTAAATTATGTCCAAGTTAGACTGCGAATGGTGCAAATAAGGAGAGGCAGGAACAGAAAAGTGTCATGACGGAATTTGTGTGCGGAGGCTTATTCAAGGTTGATTTAAATCCCTCGTTTCAGGATTTTACCAGAAGGCATTGGTAACTCCTCGGTTTTACCTCAAAGGCTGAAGTGGAATCATATTAAAGCATACTTCGAGCTTTTAACAAGCTACTTTGGTAAAAGCTAGGTTTTACTGGTAAAACCTAGGATTTACCAGACTTTAGGATCTTACAGTAACATATCTCCATTCATACTGCGTATAATATTTTACTTGTAAAATGTATACGATTCTCTTATATTCTTATATATATTGATTCAAATAATGAATAAAACTTAAATGCAATAATGAAAAACAAGTGCAAAATTTTTTAAAAAAGTATGTGGCTTTTTCATAATATTTATTAAATTATAAAATGAACAAATATAATTTTTTCACAATTTTTATTTATTAAATTATAAAATGAACAAATATCATTATTTCACAATTCACAAAATTACACATATATACAATAGTTAATATATATTATTAGTAATCTTCCTTTTACTTACTGTTTATTCCTAACCTACTTTTTTTTTTTTCTTTATTACAGATACTTTAATAATCCCATTAAAATATTCTCGTGCTTTCATGAAAAGCAGTATTCAGCAGAATTACTAGATTTTATTTTAACACCAACGAAAGTTGTTAATGTTATCAAAAACAGCAGTATAATTAATTATCAGTTATGTTATGATCATCAGTTATGTTATGATCATGTTATCAAAAACAGCAGTAATATTAAAGAATATGAAGATTTAAAAATTTATTAGAACACTGCTCGTATTTTGTTATACTTCTAACTCGGAAAAAAAAAATCTTCCGGATTCTACAATTCTGAAGTTTTAGTTACATGCTCCATTACATAACGCATTTGTAATCTAAGTTTGTTTTATTTGGTTATTAATGCAGTTATATGTAATCATGTCGAAACATTTATCAATACGTAATGGATGTAGTTACCAAATAATTTTTTGCCATCGGTGTTTGTTTACATCATGATATTAAGGATTTTCTATAAACTAAACTTCTCGAAATTCACATAAAAAAGTGGAAAACAGCCAATTATAGTAACCCAGACAAATAGTTTGTGACGTATTGTTGCCACCAGTCACGTGAGACCCGCTAACTTCCGTAAACCGTCAGCGTTTGTAGTCGCATAATTGTAACGGACTTTTGGAGTTCTGACAAGCACGATCACGAAAGCTGGAGGCAGTGTCTAAACATAGCTCCGAAATTTTTTAAATAACTGTTTCAGTAAATATTTTCAACTCTCTAAAAAAGTTTAATGCACCTTTCCTATGCAATGTCTCATTCATCAAATTGAAAAAGGAAACTTCGCTTCATCGAAACTTCAGGTGTTTTGTTAGCTGTTTACTATCAACACGAGAAATCCAAAAGAGGCCCTGACACGGAATATTCAGATAAGTAACATTCTGTTCTCTATACAATATATGTTTCTCTATCACTAGAGTGCAATTAAATTTTTTTTATTTATTATTTTTCATAAGATTCTAGCATTATACAATAGTTAGTAATAGTAGCAAGTCATGTGGTTCTTTTCTTCGTAACTATTCCGTAGAGACGCCACATTCCTTATCAGTAGTCCGTTCTTATCAGCAATTCACACCCTTCGGAGGCCCCCCTTTTCGTGCTTAGGAATTTCTTGAGAGGGAAAAATGGGGATCTCTTGACCATCGATGAGTATAGATTGTGATTTTTGTAACTAAGATCCCCGACTTTTTTTTTTTTCAGGTCTCAAACTTAGAATTATGAGCAAATAAAAATACAGTGTGACGGAATTTGTTAAAGTTGTACTATAATAAATTACAATGGTTAAATTAATAAATTAATTTTATATTTAACTAATATTTAAGAAAAATAAACTGTGTAATTTATTTTTGCTGAAATGCTCTCACACTGTGTATGGATTTATGATTTTGTCAATTACTGTTTTTATGAAATATACATGAATTTTTTGGGAACGGTAATATTTAATGTTACTTTAGTTAAAATATTATGTACATCTCTGTGATGATATATGTCTTTTCTTGTTAGGTCTCAAGATAACGGCATACACATTACCATGTAGGAATTCATTCATTCATTCATTTATTTTTTTTTTTAACTTAGCTAAAGTTTGCTTCTTAAAGACACGAATTTTTGCAGATGAACTCCTTAACTACGCTCATGGACACAATCGTATTTTAGGGTATTTTCTACTTCTTTTCCTTTTCCTTTCTATATGCCCTTTTTTTTTCCCCTCTATTATTTTTGGGCCATTTAATTTTAAATTTTATTTTGTCCCATCTTTTCTTTCTGGCCTTTTGAACTCGTACAAAATGTACGAAGTTCCTTTTTACTCTCCTCAAATACGAAATTGCCCCTCTTTCTATATACCTTTCCTTCGCACCTATGCTTGATTTTTCGCCCATCGGTGCAGAAAGACTTAGCGGGTGCAAAACAAGACATCTGTCTACTTTGTCTGTCTGTCTGACTGGTCAAAGAAGCCACAAATCGTACTGCACATGCGTACTGTAACGTGACCGCTTCTGATGGGAATTTGAATTGAAAGAAAATCTCTTAGATCTCTCTCCTTCTTGCGAGTAGTAGTTTGCGCGAAGTACCTTTTTTGCAATTTATCTCGTGCCTCGGTAACTTTTCCTCCGTGACTTATTCCAGAAGACATTTTCAGTTATGCATTTTTCGTCTGGGCATGTTATCTGCCCCTACCCATGCTAATCTTGTTTCTATTATCATACACTGTTCTCTTTTTTAGGAACTACCTATGCTATGGTAAATAGAAAGCTCGAAAATCGCCATCACATGTTAATCAGGGATAGCGAAACCGCGCGGGGGCCCGTTTATTGCGAACTGCTTTCGCCTGAGTCGTGCCTCGGATTTGAAGAGTGGCATTAGGAACTTCTAAAAAGATTTTTACAGAAAATATTCAGTATGGTATGTTTTTATATGTTACATTTTATTAGTAAAATATATATGTCTGTGTAGAAACTGGCTGTCACTTTGAGTTTTCAAATATGAGTTCTGCTATAGCTATCTTTATTATTAAATATTCACGTCTTTTCTTATTCAGCGAATTTTATAGGAGAAAGTGTTGCATTCATTTTCATGACATGTACTAGATTTATGTGGTCAATTAATTAAATAGAAATTTATTCACCCCATTAATTTTTCAAGCGAAAAATGGTAATAATTAAGATAACTGTTAAATTATGGAATAAAAGGCATATTATATTATCCGGGGTCTGAGTGCCAGAAAGGCCACTCTTCTATATTTAAGTAATCACAGAAATAATTTTAGAGCTCTCTTTGAAGGCTTATTGCTACTGTGTGGTTTTTTTTTTTTTTTTTTCTCCCCCCAAGTTTCTAATTTTCATGTTTTTTAAATATCAGTCGAAAACGAAATGAGGTACCTATAATCCTTGAAAATGTTTTAGAATATTCCAAAAGTTATTCTCTTTGAATTTATAGCTTAAATTGCAACCTAAAAATTTCAGTTACCGTCTAAAAGTTTACAAAGTTATAAATACCAACAAATTAATTAATAAAATGGAACATAAATATAATAAATTAAAGATAAAATAAAATGATGCAATCTTTAAAAGTGTAAAATTTTTTTATGATTTAAATTTTCTTCAAAATTTCAAAAGCAAATTGAAATTAATTGCCAAACTTAATTTTAACAAAATATTTGTGTTTAGCCTAGTAGCCTAAGAAGTTACAGTCCGGGAGATCAAGATATAGAATGTAAAATCATGCATTTAAGAGTTTTTTTTTTTTAAAACCAACAATTGAGAACTGTGGAAAACTTGCTGTGACATGGTCTTATTATAAATTTGCGCCACGTGGAAATTCTTGTTCTTATTCAATCACAGTATGCTTTAAATATTTTTACGTGCATACATATTGCATATATATCACTTGGCACGAGGTTTGCACAAATATTTTCGTCAATCAGGAATATGTTTTATTTTCCCTGGCATGGATGAAAATAAATACTAACCGAGTTTTCTAGCGTTTTCTTAAGAAAGCTAGTGTGTGTTTGTGCATTAAAATATATGCATGAAATAACCACGTATTTTGGAATATAGTATATAGACCACATGGTTTTATCAGTAGCAGCATAATATATGTAATTTGTTTTCGTAATTTACGCCTGACACTGACAATATCACTAAACTATAAATGGTGAAAAATCTGTTATATATTGGGTAATTGAAATTAATATTTTTGTATTATACACTTTTTATTTTTCACTTGTTTTGAAAATTCTGTATATTATTTGATGAGGTGTTTTGTAATGTAGATGTTACCTTGTAATTTTCTCGCTGTCGCGATTTTTTTTGAATTGCAAAGGCACTTGATCATACATTATTGGTCCCGAGTCTCGATTTGTAATATTCTTTAAATATTATTATATAAAGATCCGAAATCTTTTTAATGACTTTCGTTGTTTAGAATTCTAATTTAGAATTCTGAAGTTTCAGTTAATAAATGAATTATATCAATTATTTTACTATGTTTAAGATAAACTGTTTTCATATGTTTTCGTGTTGGTGGAAATTTTGGAATTACCAATGTTAAAAATTATGCATGGGGGAATAGAACTATATTTTTTTAAATTTTTATGTGAGAAAATTTGGTCTAAAATATGTGGGAGAACCCTCTTAATTCGGATATTATTTCAACAGTATTTATCACCCAGTTGAAACGTGTGCAATTATTCAATACGGAAAAAGTGTAATTGTTCAAGATACGCTCCTGCATATATTCCACTGGATCCCTTGCATACAAGGCTTGCAACAACATTCTTCATTATGTAGCAATTCTTTTTATTTTGTCTGCCATATCTGCTCCATAAAAATATTTGAAAAATGATTTTGCCTCGAAATACAAGCATGAAGAATTCACATGGTCTGAAATATGTCGACAGAATGCACGTGTCCTAAAGTTAATTACTGTTGCCAGTGTTAAATTTCAATGCATAATGTATTTCTCTCTTCTTGATGATCGTACGAAATACTACCTAATTTTTAAATGTTTATAAATATTTTTATATTTATAAAAATGAGATCTGCAAATGTAGTTCCTTATAGTTTAGTAATGCGAGTAGTTCTTCTCGCATTTCTTGAAAAGCAGTACAATATTCGATAAAGATTGATTCAGAAACGTGTTTATTTTAACTCGTAGGGTTATAGTATTATTTTGTCTAATATTCAATATCTGAAGGGAGCGGAATGGCTAGCCGCATTGTTTTCTTTTCTTTCCAATTGATAAAAATGATAAAAAGCAGTTTTGAGCAGAACGAAATAGTGTCAGATATTTTTGTCCTCTGATGTAATCTGTTAGTTTGTTAATAAATTTATTCGCATAATTTCTATTACACTCGGTTATCTTTAAAGTGAGAATATTAGTTAGCAAAAGTAAAGTACGTTTTGGGGTAGGCAAATGTATCCTATCCTAATAATATACAAAAAATTTTAAAAGCAATGCTGCCTGCAGTAAATATAAAGGTCAGCACTAAAACAATATACTTGCATAATACGAAAAGCTATAGCTTGAATGAGTATCATAATATCTGACTCTAATAATTAAAGTTCCCTCGGTTAAGACACAATAACACGCCGAATAAATACTAATTCAGAAGTCAAACAACAAAAATCAGCGTTAATTTACAAAATTTTCACAGTAATGGAAGATGTTTTTTGAATAATTTTGGCAGCAGAAAAATTGAAAGTGTGATTTTCGGACCAACAATGTTGAGCAACAGAAGACTTCTGTGTTTCCTTTTTTCTAACATATGCCTCATGTTCTTTGACGCGAAATTTTAAGGCTCTTTTAGTTTGGCCAATGTAAATTAAACCGCACTGGCAAGGAATCCTATAAATACCCCAGGAATTCATATCCGGAATGGGGTCCTTGAGTATAGAAGTTGGAATTTTATTGATGGGAGAGTAAACAAACCCGAAAGTTAAATTTCTGCAAAATATGTGCAACTTTATAGCTAATTGATGGAAAGAAGGGAAAGATAACAGAATTTTTATAATCTCCTAAAATAAGAGTGTGGCTTTTAGTGTGTTGAGATGAGAATTTTTTAACTGTGAAAATTTTGTAAATTAACGCTGATTTTTGTTGTTTGACTTCCCTCGGTTGTTTAATTACGCCGGATATTTCTAATTGAAAGTAAATTTGGAGTCTAAAAATTAGTTGCATCCTTTACAAAGTCATTTAATATTAGATCATTTTTTGTTACTTTAATATAATAATTTTCTATTCTTTGAGAAAGTGAATATAAAATTCAAAATGCTTAATTACTGGAAACAAAATTCTCTATACATTGAAGTGATTTTAATGCAAAAAATTCGATTTTAAATATCAAACATAGATAATTGCCTTTCGAAAAGTTTATTCAGCAGTATATTGAGTTTTCAGTATTTGTATATTGAGTTTTAAGTCATAGCCAGAACTACTGTTTCGATAAATAATAGTCGGAGATATGTAATTAAAATTACATAGCTTCTTAACCGTACTTATTTGAAAAAAAAAAAAAAAAACCCTCAGTATTGAGGGGAATGTTAAGTGAATGTAAAATCCGAACTTGCTCTGTAAGATATTTTCTCCCTCCTTTCCACATGCCTTACTGGTGTAAACAGACACATACTCGACGCTATTGGAGAAGTCCAGGGTTCGAGTCGCGACGAGGGCATTGCGTATTTTTCATGTCTTCTCATTCAGATGAACTCTAATGATTCTACAAGTGGCGCTCGAACTTAAAAAGGTGGTGGACGATAATTTATCACCACCAGGATTTGGACCGGGCACCACCAGGGCCACCACTAGAATCAAAATGAAGTATATTTTAATTTTTTTCGACTGCAAAACCATTTTTAGATACTATCGGATTTAATCTTTTAATTATTTCAATACTATTCAGAACAATGGGGGCCATTATTCTTAACTATAATTCAATAATGCAAATCCTCTTTTGGTTTCAAATTGTTTTCATTAATTGCATTAATAATGTTGATATTTGTAGAAAATATTAGTAAAATTAGTTATAAATACTTTCTTATTGATGTTTATGCAGTATATCACGGGTCTTCAAACTTTTCAGCCCGAGGATCATATTGGCTCTTTCAGGAAGCTTCGAGGGCCAAGATACTGTTAATTCATCATACCACAGGTTTCCAACTATGATGAAGAGCATACATGTTTTTAAACAAGGCATTGAGAATTTTGTGATTGGATCTATATGCTATGATCTTACGAAGTGTCTTGTTTTTAGACTTTCATGTAGTTTCACCTAACATAAATTTCTTAAAGCTGATTTTAAACATTTGAAAAAATATAGTTTTGCCCCAGAATATTAGAGATTTCTTCGGTTTAATAAGTACCTTACTTTTTAATAAATTTACCTCCCCGTTGTCTCAGTTTATCAGCGCATTTTGTTTACATTTTGATCAGGTGCAAATTCATAAGTATTTCATAATTTGGCCAAGTTTTGTGTGAAAAATAATCTCGAAAATCAAAATAAACTACAATATAAAAAACAAAAATTAAGATTTAAATAAAATCACTACTGAAAATTTCTGTGAACCAACCTAGAATACTGCTATGAAAGTAGGAAAGATAGCACACAAAACCTTTTGTCTTGTAAAAAAGGACAAATTTACTTCCTTGCACTTTTTTACTTCCTTGCACGAAGTAAAGAAAGTATTGCAATTTCTTTACTGTAAAAATTTCGGATAACATATATCAACGAAAATATTCATATTTGAAATGGAGTTCGAGGTAATAAGTTTATAATATGTTTTTATAAGGAACGTGCATGACAGGCAACGCATTTTTAGATTGGCCGTTACATAAAATAGTTAATATATATGTTATTTGTGATTTTTAATTTTATAAAATTATTTTAAATAAACCACAGGCGGGCA